CTTTGTCTTTGAGCATGTAACTTCTCCAAATCCCATCTGGGTCTGCGCTTTCGAAATCCTATAATTTTCTTGAACCTGGTTCGGAACTTGGCAACCAGTAAGTTGTGGTCAGAGTCAGTATCTGCCCCAGGAAGCGTCTTCACATCCTTCACACTGTTTCTGAATCGATGTTTCACAAGGATGTAGTCCAGCTGATGCCTCCTCCAATCCCCAGGTGCCTTCCATGTGTAAATTCTTCTCTTTGGCTTCTTGAATCAAGTGTTGGCAACAGTCAGTCCATTTCATTCACAAAAGGCAATAAGCATTTGACCTCTGTGATTCCGTCTTCCTAGTCCATGTGATCCAACAATCTTCTGATATGGGTCCTCTCCAACAATGCTGTTCCAGTCCCCCAATATGATGCTGTTTGTGTCTCCTCTTCCATCTTCCTGAAGAATTTCTTCAATTGTGTCATACACTTTTTCCACTTCATCATCTTCATCTTCATAACAAAAAATATTACTTGCTCTTGTTGAATGTGTGACTCACCTAAATGAAGTTCAGTAAGTGGAAGATGAAAGGAACCATATGAAATTATAATACAGAAAACTCATATGAATTTATAAAATTAAAGAATGTTATGATGAAAATATTTATGCAATCATTTTTACCAATTTCTGATTGTGATTATTAATCAGAAATAAATAATGGCAGTATTCAGTATTTATTTGTGGTTTACTCTCAGTTGGGGGAATTTAGAAATAGTTCCTTAGTGCACTGAGCTATTTTATAAATGTGGCTGGCAAGTGATATGAGTCCAAAGAAATTCAAACAAAGGCACATCTAATGAGGTGAAATGTGTTTGCAGTGGGAAGCATAGCATTGATAAAGCTCTGATCTGACCTCACGCAAAATGTAAACTGTTCCTCAACACAGAATTACTTATTGTAGTAGGGTTCATGTCTCTTGACGTTTGGCAAGAACAAATAGGGAGTTCCCGTGTCATAGCCAATTTGTTGTTCCTCACAGGTGTGTGAAGCAGCAGCAGTGTATGGAAACTGATACTGGAACAACTGTGGAAGAATAGAACTGAACTCTTTCATGACAGTAATTGAATAAAATATGAACTGAACCTTTGTATGCAATGTTTTTTCCCGTAAGAGCAAATATTACTTTCTTGACAGTACAGGATTCATGTTTGTTTTAGTATTCAAGAACAGTTTTATGTTCAGCATCTTTTTGTAAGTCATCAAGGTTTTCACTCATTGTGGAATGTTTATGTGATATTGGAAGGTGATAAGAACATGTTTCAAATATTCTCCTCTTTTACCTTCTTTGCCTTCCTGTATATCCAGCATGCTTCAACTTTAGGTCCTGGCATTTAGAGAAATCCACTCTTCTTTGTTATTCTTCATCCACATATTTTTAAAGAACTGATACACATTACAAACTTTTGTGAACATTGCTACCATAATTGCTGGAATGTTCGCTGCCACTTGTACTCAGCTTACTAAGCAACTTGTATTCAAACATTTTGAATCAGAAAATTTATACGGAATAATTGACCTATATATTACGCATTTAAGCCTACTAAAGCGCTGAAAGTTATAACAAAAAAACTTAACAGTATTTGTCCTCAGTTGAAAAGAAAATGGAAGAGCTTGAATATGTCAAATGGATGCAAGACAAAGTAATCAGTTATATCCCTTTCTGGTCTTGGGCTCCTTGTATGTATTATCAGGACCCAGGTGGCCAGATAGTGTGATGTGAAGTAATACACAGTTTCATGAAGTCTGGGCAAGATAAAGAAAGAAAGGGTAATACCCACGTTATCTGATATAGAGTGCGAGCACATTTTAAAGTTCCATAGATTGCTTAGAAAACCAGGAAGAAGTGTATAAACTTTATCAAAATTATGCTTTATCAAATACAGAATCAATCTTGTCCAGAATCCTCAATATATTATCCATGAAGTGGTATAAAAATCATGACTGCCTCACAGTGATTGCAAGAAAGTTTCAAAGGCCCAAAAATGTTAACTGCTTGGCCTGGGAATGTAGAGTTTGCTCTTTCACAGTCAGAGAAATGAGGTGCTTCACCTAAGTATGTGTTTCATCTATGTTCATGAAAAGTTTGCTCAAGCACGCATGATATGCGACATTGAAACTTGCAGTAGTGGACTTGAACTGGCGAAACGACATGCCTCTTAGTGGCTAGTATGATATCAGCATTTAAATTTAAAAATCTCCAGCTGAGAGTGAGCCGAAGAAAATTTAAATGCTGCATGATTAAGGTTAACTTTCCATTAAACAGATTGTTGGCCACACCATAGCTCAAGCGGTTAGTCACTGGCTTCTCACCATGGCGGCCCAGGTTCAATCCCGGGTTTGGTCAAGTGGGATTTGTGGTGGACAAATTGGCACTGGGGCAGGTTTCCTCCAAACACTTCGGTTTCCCCTGCCAATCTTCATTCCACAATCACCCTCACGTATCATCTGGGGTTGGTACAATAGGCCAGAAGTGGCCGCAGTTCAAGGGACTTAGTCCCACCCCGCTAGCAATAAAAATGACAAAAAAAAAAGAAACAGGTTGTTTGTAGGCTTAATTAACTATGTACTTAAATCAGTCAGTCATGGAGCTGGGGCCTCCTTGAGAAACCACAAATTGTGCAGCTGCTTCAATGTATAAGCGGTGGGCCAAGCCGTCCACTGGTCCCTATCCTGAGCCAGATCTATGCAATCTATACTATCCAATCCTGTCTCTCTGAGATCCATTTTACTATTATCAACCCACCTACGCATTGGTGTTCCCAGTGGTCTCTTTCCATCTGACTTTCCCATCAATTTCCTATATGCATTCCTCTTCTTACCTGTTCATGCTACTTGCCCTGCCCTTCTCATCCTCCTTAACTTGATCATTCTAATTATACTTGGAGAAGAGTACAAGTTATGAAGCTCCTCATTATTCAGTTTTCTTGAACCTGTTAATTCATCTGTCTTTGGTCCAAATATTCTCAACACCCGGTTCTCAAACACCCTCAGTTTATGTTCCTCCCTTAATGTTAGAGACCAAGTTTCACACCCATACAGAACCACAGGCAAAATTATCGTTTTGTATATTCTGATTTTTATGTTTTTGACAGCAGGCAAGAAGACAAAAGGTTCTTGACTGAATGGTAGCAACCATTACCCGAATTCAGTCTCTTAATTTTTTTGTGAATCAGGTTTTGATTTGTTATCATTGTTCCCAAATATCTGAACTGTGTCACATTTTCAAAACATCTGTTACCTGTCTTTATGTCATGATTTTGCCCTGAATTTTGGTGATGAGACAGTAACATATACTTAGTTTTCTCTGTGTTTACTTCTAGACAAGTCTCCTTACTAATGTCAGTTAAAGTTTGTATGTTTTTTTTTGTGGTGTCTATATTGTCACCCAGTAGATTCACATCATCAGCATAGACCAACATCTAATGTGTCCCATTTAATTTCAGTCCCACCTGGTTTTCCTGCTCCTTCGTAATGGCACATTCCAAAGCAAAGTTGGAAAGGAGTGGGGACAAAGCATCTCCTTGTTTTAGACCGTTCTGGGTAGGAAAATTATCAGACAAATGTTAACCTATACAGACTTTACCATATGTGTCGTACTTAAATTACCTTGTAAAATTTCCTGAATTCATTTCTGCATGATAGTCCCCTCATTTAGATTCTGATTTAATGTTAGGAGAGAGGGATAAATCCATTCTCCCTCCCATAAATAAAATAATCTATAGTAGAGAAACACTCTGGTCTAGAAAACAGAGTTTAACAGCTGTGGGAATGTGTTGTGCTGACCACGTGACACCCTCTATCCGCCATGGTTGGCACTAACTTCGCCGACAAGTGGTGGTCACACAGTCAATATAGTTTTCTTGCGGACTACAGGTCATGGAATTTTTTTTTGTTTTAGTAGAGAAACAATTCAACCATGTATGGTACTAACCATTCCATACTGAAAATGTGCAATTAAAACAAAAACATATAAGGTAAAGTTGTCTGTGTGCTTAATTGAGCACCATGCCATGAAGATGTGGGGAGACTGGAGGTATACCTCCACCTTTCTTGATCTTGGCACTAGATGGAGGTGAGCAGTTCATTCCCCAGATGCTTTACCCATGGGCAAAGAGCCCCAAGTTTCCATTAGGATGCTGGGCGGGCCCTCTAACTGGTTTGGATACTTGGAGAGTATAGAAAATTCTCTTGCCCATGCTGGGAATTGAACTCTGGCTGCCCAGCCTGTTGATGTACTGACTGAACTATTCTGGCTCACCTGTATAATGTACTGGCACACTCATATGGTTGGATGAACTTTTGGAATGAAGGATAAAGTGGTTCATTCTTCATTTTACATGGATGTATGTAGAGGTTGATCTTCATGACTCGTGTGAAAAAGGTGACTTCATACATATGACATATTTATTTTCAGGATCAGTGACAGTTCAGTAATGCCAAATAATTCACTGGCATCTAAAGTACCACGAAGGAGTTCTGCAGCTTTAACAATGAACAGCAGTGATAATTCTGTAACTGATGTTTCTTCATCGTCTGATTTACCCATAATTAAAGGATATGTCTCGAGGGAAAGGGGAGAGGGAATTTCATGTCCACTGACTCATTCAGCTTCAGCATCTTTTCCTCCAAAGAAGAACAAGAAAGCTGCTACTGCATCCCACCAGCAGAATGCTTTACAGGAACTTCTGCAAATATGGAACACAAAATCTAAACAAGAGAACCATTCTCCAGAGGATAGGTTCCAGCTTTTGGATTTACGTGATAAAATATTGAGGCTGAGTAAGTATGACACTGGGTTTGCTGTCGTGATTCAAAGAAAATAATTTAAGTGAGGATGTAGTAATTTATGCTTTATATATGGTACTATTATAGTACATAATTCTGTATCACATCTTCCTACTTTCTTTTTTACTTTTTCACAGTGAGTTGTACTTATGGTTCATTTACGTCTTGGGGTACCCCTGCATCCTATATTGAGGTTTATAGAGCTTCATTTTCATGACTTGAACTTTCATTTGTAGGGTGTGTATGGGTGTTCTTGTCTCCAGTTTGTCTCTAGATCAGCTTTTATGTTTTCCTCCCCAAGTATTAATGCAGTAAGATAATGCTTCATGTTCCATATATACAGTAAAATAACTTTACAGCATGCCTGATTGATTATGATATTTAATCATGCTTTTTCAAGAACAGGGGTTGTATTGTGTTCATGCAATATATAAGGGGCAGTCAAATGAAAACGGGTCAACACACATAACTCACATGGCACACAAGTTGGTAACACTGGGATTTCTTATGGTACGAACATCTGGTGGGGACTCGGGAAAGCACAGTGACAACGTGCCTTTGCACACTAGTCGTTCGTTTATTGTGCTGGAAGTAAGGTTAGCGCTACTTGAGTTGTCCAACATCAGTAATTGAGGCGGGAAAAGAAAAACAGTGAAGTGTAGTGTGCTTTTTGACTGCTGAAGGAGTAGAAGGACCAGAAATTCATCATCACAGGTGTTTTGTTTATGGCGAACACAGCATGTCACGTTCATGTGTGCTGGTGTGGCAGAAGAGATTCCAAGAGGGACGTGTGTCACTGCAATATGATGCTCGTCCAGGACAGGCTCATCGTGTTATCACTTCTGATGTTATTGCTGTGTTGGATGGTCATATCTGGGCAAACCGACAGATCACTGTGGAAGAAATTAGTCTTTTGAGGGGGAAAAGTCATGGTTCCATACACACCATTGTGACAACACACCTGTTGTACTGCAAAATCTGTGCACAGTGGATTCCACATCAACTCACAGAGGAATAGAAGACTCAGAGAATGGCTGCATCACTGGGTCACTTGCAACGATACCTTGAGGAAGAGTATGCTTTTCTTTCCCATATTGCCACTGGGGACGAAACTTGGTGCCACCATTTGAACCTGAGAGCAAACGGCAGAGCCACCAGTGGAAACACGTGAATTCTCCCCCACAGAAGAAATCCAAAGCTGTACACACAAGTTCCATTAAATTAATGATGATGTTCTTTTTCGACTGCAAGGGCCCTCTGCTTGTTGAATTTCTCGAGCATGGGACCACAATCAGTGCACAGCGCTATGAAGACACTTTGCAGAAACTGAGACGTGCCCTAAAGTCAAGACGCCCTGGGATGCTATCNCAACTCTGTGGGGAATACGCTACAGAGATTTGGTTGAGAAGTGTTCGACATCCCCCCTACAGCCCAAATCTCTCCCCATGTGATTTTCACATTTTTGGAGACCTGAAGAGAGACATTCGTGATCATCAGTTTGCATCAGACGAAGTCATGTGCAGCTGTGTGAAGATGTGGTTCCGTAGACAGCCCACAAGCTTTTTCAAGGGTTGGATGGACCATCTTATCTCCCAGTGGGATAAATGTATTAACAATTTTGAAAATTACTTTTGAGGTAAGAAATGTTCTTTAATATGTTTTGGCTTCNGTTTTGAAAATTAGTTTTGAGGTAAGAAATATTCTTTAATATTTTTTGTCTTCTGACCCGTTTTCATCTGACTGCTCCTCATAGAACAATTCAAAACACTAATAATTTTGATTGTATATTTTTTTAAGGATGGACCAGTTTTCTATAATTTTGTGTTAGCTGGATACCTGATTCTTTTCAAATCGTGGGGGGAACTCTTATAATGTATTTACACTGTTGGTTGGTTCAGGACTTAAGTGCGGGAATGATACACTGATGGAGAGACACACATGAACATTATAACATAAGGCTGTCTTTTACAATAAGGGGAGTGGACTGAAAGGGACAGATATTAATGACATGAATGTTTTGTGTCATGTTCATATTTTTCTTGTTATGAACCTTTTAGAGAACTTAGTAAAACTTCTTACTCTTTGGTAATTTATTATCTAAATGTAAGGTCTTACAGTGCTGGAATATTAACTGTTCTTATGCTGGTAAATATTCTGAGTGCATCATGTCACATGTTCCATGGAATTATCAGAATATATTTTGAACATTCTTGTGACTTTCTTAATTGGAATGTAAACAATTTTTTATCATAAATTATTCATTAGTATTGCTGCTAATTCTTTTAGGAAAATATTGACTGAAGCCTGTAGTCTGTGTGTATGT